CCGTCAATTCCCTCGTTGCCTCGGGATTAGTGCCGTTTCATCGGGTGATTCCAATCGAAGAAGTTGACAGTGATTTTTGGGTGTCGGCAACGTCTCAAACGCAACATCGAAATCCGTTTTGCGATCGGACATTGTTTATGTGACATCGCGTGTCAATTTCGAGTGTCGATCATCCCTTTTGATCGATCTCGTCCAGTTTGACTGCGAGGGGTCCCCACGAGCTATTTTGGATGAAGGTTGATAGCAGTGGGGCCTACTTGGTTTTGGTGGAGAACTTTATGATAGGTCTCATTGGTTAGCTATTTATTACTTAATTAATTTTATTATTTTTGTCATAATTTCTTTTAATATTTCATTGGACCCATCCATTATTTGTCGTTATATTATTGATTGAATGCATGGGTTGTTGTTGATTGTGGGGCTTCAAAATTAAATAATTAAATTAAGAAAAAATATGAAAAAATAGGTAAAATACTAACTTTTTAGATGTCAAAATAAGATTATAAAAAGTCAATATAAGTTTATAACAAGTCATACAAAGCCACAAGTACTAAATAATATGGATGTCATCTAAGATAAACTAACAAACATTAGGAAGAAAGAAGTCTAAAATAAATATACCTTTCTCACTTCCAATTCAATATAAATAATAAGTTCAAGGCAATAATTTATGAATTTAAGAGTCTTATCCACTCCCATCATTTAGAGAGTCCTCATTATAACATCATTATATTTAATTGCTTTTCCTCTTCCCTTATCTTTGCTTGTATCAAAATAATCCTAGTCCTTATCATCTTCATCCTCAATTAGCTTCATCTTTCCTAATAATATAATCCAATAAAAGTATTTATTAAAATCTTAAATAATGACTATATTGATGATTCTAATTTATGGTGTATAAAACTCATTCTAATCTTATTAGTTACTTTGTATTAACCTTATTTAGTCTTGTTCCTTCTATAAAAGAAGTCAATATCGAGACATCTCTTCTTGTTATTATGATGGTGTAACTTGATTTTCATTTTACATAAATAATTTTCTATTCGATGGTACATCATTATTAACTAAGGGATCTTTATCATCCACCAAAATTATCTTAATCAAATGTTCATTTTTTGTAATCTCTTGTCATACATAATTTAAATCAATGAGTTCATTTTTAAGGCAGTCAAATGATTTTTCTCTTATTTCTTTGGCTATGAGTACTCCAATTTTGTTCACACCTAGTGACGAGAATGTAAGACCAAACACTTTGATTTCATACCTTTGTAATTTGGGGGAGCCATCTCTTAATTGAATCCAACACTTAACTAATTAAAAAAAAAACACTGATCATAGTTTATAAATTTTAAAAATAATCAATAAATATTAAAGTTAGTATTTATAGAATCCTTATTAGTGGAATTTTTCACTATAGTGTCTTTGGCTTGTTGTGATCCAAAGAATCCTTGTTTTTGAAGGCTACATGTTGGAGATCAGTCTTCCCGCTCTTTTTTGAGTCAGCAATCATTCCATGATACCTTGGTACAAATTGAGTTTGAATTATGTATTAATAGACTTATTTTCATCATAGTGATATTGAGGGTCTAGATTATATCCATTTGCATGTAAATACCAATGTAATTGAAGCTTTAATTTCTCATCTACAATCCCCACAATTTCCATCTTCACGCAATCCTTTTGCTATTAACTCCTTTGTCTCATCCATAGTATTATAAATGAAACTCAATGTGGACCCACTTGTTTATTTTTGTAAACATACTCATTTGATGTTTAACAATTGCCTCATAAAGAACTCTATAAAATGCTTTTATGAATTAATTACTTATTTAATGACTTGTTCTATATTGGTGTATACTTTTTTTCATATTTTATACACTTTAAAAATTATGTATATTATTAAAGGTATAAATATGATGAAAATATGAAACAAATAAGTTAGATATGTAGATTAGAATTTTTTATAATTATATTTGAACTTCACCAAACAACTTAAATGATACCTGTTGTATTTGAAAAAAATTGATTAAAATCTACAAATCCAATTATGTTTAGAAATAGTTAAATTTTTTTTAAATTATTAACGTCAAACATATAATTGGTTATGCTCAATTATGACTCAAACTTGATAATAAAATTAGTAAAAAAGTTTCAATATTTTAAACCTTGGGTTATGTTCAAAGTTGGCTTGAACTTGGTAAGAAATTAAATTAATGAGCTTGAATAAAATAGTATTGTGTTGAACTTGATTCATTTACTTGGCTAACTATCTGATAATTAGCTTAATTAACATAACTTTTAATTAAAATTGCCTTTCTAAAAAACTTTATTGTTGGCTATGATGAATTTTGATGACTGGACAATAAGTAGGCAGGTGAGAATTTGTGTTGGATCTAGTATTGCCGTTGTTGAAAATTTGTGTTGGACCTAGTATTGACGTTGCGTGTCATCACAAATCCACAATACCATGATAGTAGTATACCATAGCATAGCAATTTGGATGCTTTGTCTTCTAACCCAAATGGAATAGCAGCCATATAAAGGCTTGACAAATGCCTAAAAAACACAAGAAAACTAAAATGGCGAAGAAAGGGAAAAAGCATGAAAGTGAGTTGTCTCATCCTCAGTTGTAATGATGGCCGGGATGATCTGCCGTGATTGCACATGCCTGGAAGGCAAAAGCAAATGATAGTTGGTGCTGCAGCAAATGACAGGGTTAATGCAAAAATACAAAAAATAGTGACAGTAGTTTGCCTCTTTGTTAACAAAGATGGCAGTGATGACTAGAACTCATTTTTCATGCACACTCATTTTTGTCCTCTCAAGCAGGGATCGGACTTCCTGAGGTAGGAAATATGAATCGTGGTGTATATGTTCATGCACAACTATCATGGAGATGGTCTAGGCAGGGTTATTCACTTGCTGTTCAATTTTATTACTGTTATTAGTAATGTGGATTTGCCATTTGTAGTAATAGTAGTTTATCAAAACAAGCTTATGAATTTTGCCAACTAAAAAATAATATTTTAATTGGTATCAAACACATTTAAACTTCCCGATTCTCTTTGCTTTCATCCGAATATGGCTATCAAAGCCTATCATTGTATTTCTATTAGGTTTTAATGTTGGGTTATTTCTAAGAGATAAAAGTGAGTTCTGTTTAGCTATTTGGTAAGAGCTTTCCTTGTCTCAAGTCTCTTTATTTGTTTTTAAATAAAATAAAAATAGATTAAAAAAATTACGTTTAGTAACAAAGCTTTGGAAGGGGTCAGATAATGCTACGCCTGAGTTTTCATAAAAGAGAAAATATGAAATTCACATGACTCTATTTGTTTTATGCTTCATGATGGACTTTCTGTGTTACTAATGTAATCAAAAATTTGGGAAGGGACCCAAATTTCCCAAATTTTTGATCACAAAAAGAAAACTCTTTCTAGGAACGAAATAAAGACATAAAATGCTTGAAAGAATACAAATACTATAAAACACAACTTTATATAATAAAATAAAAGACTTACAACTATTGACTCTTACAAACGACACAAACACAAATTAAAGACATAAACTCCTAAAGTTGTTTTCCTTGAGAAGAAGGATACAGGTGGGGTGGATACTTGCGGAGAGACGAAAGAGTTTAGAAGCCGAGAAGAAGGGTGGAAAGAACTCGCAAGTCTTCCCAAGAGATAGAAGAAGAAGAAGTGGAAAAAGCTCGCAAGCTTTTCCAAAAACCCGCAGGTTTACATTTCCAAAAATCATTCACATAACATACTCAAACAACCCAAAACATATACTATTTATAGACATGAGAGGGGAATACAAATAGCCACAATGACCTTTCATATTCATAATATAAATGAGGGAAATGAAAAGCCAACATACAACTCCAAGAAACAAAGCACTAAAGCCATGGAAAAGCCCCCCAAAAGTCATGGAAAACATCCCAGGCGGAACCCGAAGAGGCAATCGCAAGAACCAAGGAGCCAGCCGTGGGAACCAAGGAGCCAAGGCACGGAAACCCAAAAGCCAAAGCATGAATGAAGAAAAGGAAGAGTCGAGTTCACTAATAAATGAACTAAAAATATAGCTCATAATGAGCTAACTCTCTTAGTTCAATAAATGAATTAAAAACCAGCTCATAATGAGCTAAATCTTAGCTCAAAAATTAATGAGCTAGCAAGCTCAAGGGAAGTCAAAATCAATTTTTTTTTGGGTTTGATTTGACCCCCCTGCCTACATCAGACTCCCCTTCTTGAGAACTCATCTCCCAATGAGTTAGCTTTGTTCTGAAGGCGTTGCATCAAGAGACACCAAGGCTTGAGATTGCTCACTTGACACCAAGACTCAAATGACAACATGACTCAAAACAAAACTTACATGATAACTAACATGACATCAAGACACACACGACTCATAAATCTAGGACTTCCTAACTTGCTCTGATACAAAAAATGATGCAAGCAAAAATTAGGAGGATAAGAGATGAGTTCATTATTAAAATGGTCTATGGTTTAAAGTTCTGCACATTTTTTTTGCTACACACTTTTTTACTACCCGTTGACATCTTTTATTCATTCTCATAAGTTAGATAACCACCTAAAAGGTTAGCAGGGGGTTTAGACCTTGTAATCAGTCATTTTGGCTTGTGCATGCAAAAATCACCCAGAATATGCTGTAAGACCTAGAAGTTCCTCTCCCTGTAACAAATAATATATGATTGTATTAAATAATTCCCAGCTGCAGTGAGAACGTACATTATTCTTTTGTATATTGTATGGTTATCTGAAATCCATTGCCGTAGGAACTGTATTTGGAATTCTAGCAATTAAGGTTGTTCATCGTTCTACTTGATAGTATCCTTACATGTGTAAATATTTGTCTTTTTAAAACTAACCTAGATTTTTGTGCAATCTACAATCACCTAACAAATTCTATCTTGTATATATTCCTTATGTTTGTATGTTTAATGATGGGCAGATCCTTTTTTTTTTAATGATGGACAGATCCTTGGATATGCTTGTTGATGCAAATCTTGCTGAAGAAGGCATCCTGCACTTGCTGTTTACTTCTGTTTATCTGCTATTTTGTAAAGCTGGAAATGACAATGAAGCATCCTTGGCATCCAGGTATGTATGAATCACACTGTTGCCATTGTGTCTTGGTAGTGTGGAGGTTATTTTGGCTAGCAATGTGTTTGTTCTTATTTGAAAGCCACTTGCTAGACCCTTCTCAATATAAAAAAAAAGAAAATATAGATAAAAATAGGTAGAAAACCCAAAGAGAAAAAATGATGAAAATAATGCAGAAAAACTGTGATGACATAGATGCATGGTGAAGCTCCTTGGGATTATCAGGAATATCCTGGTCCACCCTGCCATTTTGGTCTTTTAAATCTTCGAGAAGAGATCCAAATGTAGACCAAGATGCACTTTCCCATTAGTTTCCTTTCTTATGATTGAAGCAAGCACCATTTCTTTCTGTAAATTGACCAAATAGCAGCAATAAGAAGGTGCGGCCTAGACCTTTATAAGCATTCTTGATTTCTTTTCTTTTTCAACTATTGCGCACTACTTGTATACTATCATAATGAGTATAAACTTAAAAAATTGTAAAATTCTTATCCAAATATTACTAATAGCCCAACAAGTGGACAAAAGATGAAAGTCATTTTCTAAGTCTTACACAAGCTACATGCTGTAGAAGAGATGATTCCCAACTTGTGAAGCCGAACCTTACTAAATCTTCCTCAACTAAGTAAACCAATAAGGTCTATCAATCTATCAACTCTAATTGGTGCAATAGAGTTCCAAATCCATTCCGTATTCCTAATTAAAAATACCACGACACATAAGAAAAGAATAAAAAGACTTGGTCGTGAGTTTATTTCATTGAATATTCAAATAGGTTCATCTTTGTTAGAATTCATAGACAAGATTTATAGCAAAATAATCAATCGCTTAAAATCACTTCTAGGAGAAGGAAGAAAATAACCCCTGTCATGCATTCTCCAGTCATTAATGTATGAAAATTAGGAATTTATGTTACATTCCTCATTTATGTAAAACCTGTCATATTGTTGAATTTTGTTATAAGATGTACATTATTAAACCAATTGTCCTTCCAAAACCTGACCATGTTACCATTGGTGACTTTCTAGGGCACATTGATAAAAAAGGGTGCAACTGCTATAATAAATTTGATCCTTCAATATATTTCCAAATCCATTTGCTAAATGAAGAAAAGCTAAAATTCCTCGGATCCAAAATTCCAAGAACACCCAACTTTTTCGGTTATGAATGAAGACCACTTAACAAGGCGCAAACTTTTCCATCAAAAGTTCTAATATAATCAATCCCTTTAAATTACTCAGATAGGCTGAAAGATAGATTAATAAGGTTATGATAACTTGACCAATCTTTTGGTGAGAACAAGCTGTCTTTTGTTAGGAAATACTTGAAGATCTCAAGTGAAACCTAACAAGAGAAGCGAAGATAGCAAGACCACTCCACAAATTCAACGAAAAAACAAGCAAAACAGTAGTTTTTTATTGTAGAAATCAAATTAACAGAAGAAAAATAGCAAATACAATTGATCCTCAATTCAAGAGGAGGATCTATCTCTCCAATCCCTAGATGCCGCTAGAGCCCAAGATACCAAACTCCAAGAACAAGAACAACCACAATAATTTGCATACCCCTAACCCTAATCCTCCCCTAATTCCTTCATATTTCCTTAATTACTTCCCTCCCAAATCAGTCCTCAAATCATCCCATAAATCTATCCTCTTCAATTAGAAAATATTTCCTAATTAATCCCCCACCAAATCAGCCCCTAAATATGTCCTCTTCAATTAGGAAACATTTCCTAATTAATTCCTTTTGATTAAGAGCATTCCTAAACAACTCCCTCTTGATTAGGAAATTTTCTAATTCTCTCCCAATCAAATTTTGTCGGTCTATCAATGCTCCCCTCCCGAAGTGCCACATGTCCTTAAGTTGAAACAAAGGAAACTGCTGCTGAAGCACTTGACTAATAACATTGGACTAAAAAATTGACTAACACTAGGTCGAATGATCTCTGCTTCCAGCATTTCCTTATCAATCTCTCGATCTCATCCTTCTGGATTTGAGGATATCGATACGGGTGGACACTGATAAGTGAGACTATTTCCTTAATGATGATAGCATGCCCGTGTTCCTGCAGAGGCGACAATCTGTGAGGTAGCTTAAAAACTTCACTGAATTGCTGAATCAAGGACTACACTGAAAGAGGAATGTCCCATCCATCCTCTAATATGATCCCCTCCAACCTATGTAATTCCACCAGATAATCTTCCCCCACCTCCTGTATGCTCCTCACCATGGTTTTAAGTGATAGCATAACTTTGGAGAGCCCTGCGTCTCCCCTTTTATTTTATTTTATCTTATTTATTTGGAGAGCCCTGCATCTCCCCTTATCACTACTCTCCCTTCCACAACCAGCTCCATAGTGAATGCCCCCTTAGTTGACCTTTTCCCAAGGTCTGCAGCCACTTCATCCCCAGGATGACATCAGTGCTCCATAACTCCAATGGGAAAAAAATTACCCCTCACCTAAACCTCCTGTATGGTCAAAACTACTCATCTACAGATCCCCTGGCCCGTCTCCACCTTCCATGTACCCATTATCACTCCATTACATCCTGTATTCATCAATTTCACCCCCAATTGCTTCACAACCTAGTTGTAAATGAAATTGTGGGTATCCCAACTGTTAATTAACACCACCACCTCCATGCTTGCTATTTCTCCTTTCACTTTCATGGTATGATTATGAGTGAATCCTACAACTGAGTTCAAGGATACCTTCGACACTTCCAGATGCAGCTTGTCCTCCATCTCTACCTTTACCTTTCTCTCACCTTCACCTTACTCTCACCTTCCTCCTCAGCTTCATCATCATCACAGACAGTGAGAACCTGAAGAGTTTGGTCCCTACACATGTTCTCTGGAGTAAACTTCTCATCAGATCTGAAGCATGATCCCTTCGCCCTCTTCTCCTGCATCTCCCTCTCCGTCAGTCTTTTAAAGTTGCCCTCACTTCCTCCTACTGGCTTCTCACTAGGAGTCTCACGAATGTTGCCCGTTGAAGGTTCCTTGGGTGCTAAAAGAGTGTTAGTCATCCTGTAAGAGCCATCTGAATTGCTGCCCCTGGCTCCGCTCTCTTGGTACTTTTGATCTTCTACTAGCTATGTTAGCTCCATTGCCTCTCCTAAGTCACGAGGCCACATGACCCTTACTGCGGCTCTGATCTCTGATTCGAGTCCTTTCATGAAATTACTATTCAAAATAGTCTCCGATAGTCGCTCCACTCGACTGGCTAAGTGCTTAAATCTCTCACCGTAATCTGCCCCTGATTCGTCCTGAATTAGTGCAAAGGTCTGCTCATAGTAGTCCCCTCCCCTGCTAGTTCAGAAACGTTCCAATAAGCATTCTTTGAATTCCCTCCAATTCCGTATTAGTCTCCTCATGTCTCTCCACTGTAACCAAGACTATGCCTTTCTCTCCAAACATAAGCCCATTGCCGTCAAATTTTCTTTCTCCGTCAATCCATTGATGGTGAAATACCTCTCCACCTTGTAAATCTACCCGTGTGCGTCCTCCCCTACAAAAATGAGCATCTTCAGCTTTTGCAACTTTGGATCTCCCCTATTTTCCCATATTTCTCCCTAATTTCCCCTTTCCCATGTGTTTGGCTCTTCCCATGTCTCCTGATCTTCCCTTCCACGCTCATACCCAAACCTGATGTGAAACATTCCGGAGTTACTTAGGAAATTAAAGATAGCGAATTAAGAAAGTGTTTCCACAATAAATTTATTACTTATAACAATGATTGATCCTTAGAATTCTTGGTTTTTAACTTGCTTAGGCAAAGAAGAGCGAAAACGATTAACCAAACAATTCAAGAAAACACAAAGAATAATTGTATGCTACGACAATAAACAAGAATCCACGATTTAATAATGAGAACTTTCACCTTTGGAGCCCATACACTCAAATAGTCTAGGTTTTAGCGGAAGAAGAGTCTCCACATTAGAACCGAGGTCACTCCGAGGAAGAAAGAACCTAAGATCGTTGTTCTTGGATAGGTGGCCGGAGCGGTGGAGGATGATGGTCGTCCAACGATGATCCAACGTCCCTTTGATCTTTGCTCGTCGATCACATCAACTAATGTGTAATGGATACGGTCAATGTAATCTTCAATAGTGTCGTCGAAATCGAAGCCCACGTCAAAGAACGGTGATTGGAGGATATCAACTTGATCTCGATCGTCATGTACGAATCCAAAATTCCATTCGGGTTCCGCCATGCATCCTTGTCGGGAGGGAAAATGCACAAAAGAAGTGGGAAAAGAGAGGAAGATGGTGGCGGGTTGGTGGAGGAAGGTGGGATTGGCTTGAGCCCTTGAGAAGTTTGAGTGGAGAAAGGCTCCAAAGGAAAATAAAACTGGAAAATCTGAAGTAATTTCAGTTTTGGTAGTGGTGGGAGGAAATAAATTTGAGGAATTCAAATTTAATTCCAATAGGGATTGATGGGGCGGCAATGGGAAGAAATTTGGGCTGATTTAGTGGTGTATTAATGACATTTGGAAGAGAGAGAAGGCCAATAAGGGTGGCCAGCCATATGAAGAGGAGAGAGGGATTTGGGAGTTAAGAGAGTGGGGCCCAAGTTTAAGTAAATGATTTAATTAAATCTGAATTAATTTCAGATTTAATTATGTCTTAAGTAACTTCCCAAAATTTAAAATGAGAGGGAAGCCAAATTTGAATTTCAAATTTGGCTTTAATCTCTTTAATGGGCTTGCTTAATTGAATGAGCACCAATTAGGAAGGTGAATAACTCAAGAGATTTGAAATTCAAATGGTGTGAGAATCCAAGAGGGGAAGGCGGCGGGATGGGGCTGTTGGGCTGGCCGGCGGGAGGCTGGCCGGCGGGTGGCTGAGTTGCTGGCCGGCAGGAGGCTTTAGCTAAGGGGTCGGCGGTTTTGGGCTGCTTGGAATAGGCGTCGGCAAGAGCAAAGGGAGGAAGAGGTAGGGTGAAAAAAAAATCTAGGGATTCAAAGAGTGAATTCCAATCTTCCACAATTG